AAATGGTTCAGTGGGCAAAGAGGTGAAGGGTAACGACCTAAATTTAACCCCAGAACTCAGATAAAGGTGGAAGGAGTGAACTGACACGAGAGTTATCCTCTGACCTCCACATTCATGCTGTTGCATGTTTTCTGTACACACACAAAAAAAATGTTTACACACACACACAAAATGTTTACAGCAAATCAATACTTGCCTGGGAATGGGAGAGAGGAAGGTGAGGAACCAATAATAGTAATGAAACAATAAATGATAAAATGACACCAAGAGCTGGCCTCAAAAAACCTCCCAGGTGTGGTCATGTAAGCCTTTAATCCCAGCATTCACAAGGCAGAAGCAGGCGGATCTCAGTGAATTCAAGGCCAACCTGGTCTACACAGAGAGTTCTAGGTCAGCCAGGGCTACATAGCAAGTATATATATATTCTCAAAAAAAACTCCATATACTCAAATGATCTTAATTATTAAAATGGTTAATAATTCTAAGGATTCATTAGCAACGATTTGCTCAGAAAGACATTTTTCCATGTCACTCCTGGAGATTTACTACTGCAGGTATGTGTAGTGGAACAAACTAGGCTATAATCCAGAAGCCCTATTTAGTTTAGGTCCATGCTTCTTGAAATGACTCAGGGTTTCTAGAAGTCTTCTGGGGGCAGTTTAAAAATTACAAACTGTTACAGGAAAGGCGTTGTCTATTCTAGGAACTGGGGGGGGAATCACTGTACATCTTTAAAGTAGAAATTAAAAAATGATAATTTGAATTGGGAAAACCTGAGTTCTTGATTTCATATTTCATAGGAAAGCAAAGAGCAATTTTGGAGGTGTACCTATGGACCACGATTTCCTTAAAAACAATTCTCAAGTCTAAATTGGTTTGTGATACTATTTCCTCCATCTTAGAAGATTCAAACACTGAGAAAGAAGTACCAACTGCGCAGTGGGGGCGTGGCTATCAAAACTGCCTTCCTATGCTTTTCCTCTAGTTATAAGAGTACACTGAGACACACAAAGCACATGTGCCTTAGGGCTACATTTAAAATCATATTCAACAAGCGCCTACATTAAGTGGCGCAGGAATTAATGCAGATCACTAAAAAGAGACTCAATGCTTGCAATATCTTCCGCTGCACAGGGTTATAAACCTGAACATCTACAACAGCAGGCTTTCACTTGCAAGGATTCCTCTAAAACGTTGTCTGCGTCAACCTTTCCAGGAGCACAGGCAAAGGGGCTTCTAATAAGTGTGAAGAACAGTAGTCTGAGTTCTGATACTTAAAATACAAAGCCGGAACAAAAGGAGAGAAGTGTTTAATAGAACGCTAACAACACGGCTTTGCACAACTCCAGGCACGTGCGGTGATTGCAGCGGAGTCTCTTGACCGTAGGCAAGGAGGTGCTTGTGGGGATCTTTCTGGAGTACTGGAGGGTTAAGTCCTGAATTCCTCAGCCCAATCCGTGAGTCAGCATCCCCAAGAGAAAAAAGGAACCATAGGTGCAGAACGAAGACGCCCCCACTCTCCCATCTAACACTCCAGAGTAGGGCTGCTTCGTATTACAGCCAGGAGCAAGCGGGGCTGGTCCCGGTCCCAAGAGTCCCCGAGCTAGCAGCGTGGGTAGGGACTCCGGAATTGTGGGAGGGCTGAGGCAGGGGCACCAGAGCGGCGCCGAAACCGGGTGGTGGGCACGTACCGGAGGTCAGAGCGTGGGTGATGGCGGTGCCCTGGCCCTCCGCGGCGCTCGGTAGGAGCAGCATGGTGGCTTGGGCCAGTCCCGCGGACGCCACGTCTCCGGTCCAGGGCGCAGGACCTGCTGCGTCCGCTCCAGCTCTACCTCCCAGTCAGAGCCTCGCGCCTACGTTCTCCGACGCCCAGAAGCCGGCGCATGGAGACGACCAGTAAGCACTTCCGGGATGGGCCCCCAACCTGCGCGCGCCAATGTGTGCGGCGTCTAGTTCCTCAACGTATTCTGAACCGGCTGGAGAACAAGGGGAACGAAGCAATAGTTCCTACATCATCGGTTCCCGAGTGGAAAAGAATTAGATGATTTTCCTCAACCGAGAGCAGTACGAAGAAGACAACTTTAAAAAGCAGTTCACATGCTCAATGCCCCAAGTTAATAGTACCAAAGGAAAGCGATAGGGGAGGGGAAGTTTCTTGTGGTTTCTAAGTTCCTACTACTTTGCTTATTAGTTTGAACCTACATATCCACTGATTTTTCCAGTAGCTCTGCTTTTATAAGTTAAAAAAGTCGTGTAGGAACTAGCATTGATAATGCCTATTATAATATGTACATCCATATTTATGCATGTACATTGTGTTTACAAATAATAACAGCTAACATTTCTTGTTCTATTACTGGTTTACTTGCATTGTAACTTATTTTCATTTACTTACATTGCATTGTTGGGGATTGAATCCTGGATCTTGTACATGCGAGACAGGAGCTTTATCACTGAGCTACATCTCCAGCTTCTGCATTATCTCATTCAATACTCATTTTGAGAAGAAAACATTCTCTAAAGACCAACAATATTTTTACTCTGCTCTAGCTAAATTAATTTTTCTTTCAAGATATTTCCAACTATAAGAAACTAGGGTTTACTTGTTTAATGTGTAGTAAAAAGCAATTTTCTTCCTACTATTAAGCTTCTTTCTAGAACCAAGGCTAAAAGTAAAAACTAAAGAAAATGGTGTGTAAAAGCTAACCCTCACCTCACAAATACCAGTATTTTGAACAGGTGACAAAATGGACTTGTATACCAATTTAGTAAGGAACACCCAATAATGAAGTTACTCTTTAAAATTTTTTATCAATTATTTTTATGTGTATGAGTGTATTGCCTGCATGAGTGTAAGTGCACTTGTGTTGTCAGAAGGTGTGGGGATTCCATGGAACTGGAGCTACAGATGTGGATGCTGGGAATTGCACCCAGGTCCTCTGCAAGAGCAGTCAGTGCTCTTAACCCCTGAGTCATCTCTCCAGCCCAATGAAGTTACTCTTAAAACATGCTTCAGGGTACAAACTTGACTCTGCTTTATTAACATCTTTTTTTTCACATCTCCTTCCATTCATTTTTACCATCACCTTGAAGGTTATAAGGGTTGTTTTTGGTTTTGTTTTTAAATTGTAAAATGCACAGAACATAAAATTTGCTATCTTCATTTTTAAGTATATAGGTCAGTATTGCTGTATATTCATATCATTGTGCAACTAACCTTCAAACTTCTTTCCATCTTGTGAAACTGAAACTCCATGCTTTGAGTAGCAGTTCCTTTCCCCTCTTCTCCCAGCCCCAGGCAGCCACCCTTTTCCTTCCTGTTTATATGAATTCTATTATTCCAGGTATTTTAATTTTTGAATCAGAATCTTGTTGTATAGTCTCTGCTGGCCTAGCACTATATAGCCTAGGCTGGCCTCAACTCATGAAAATCTTTCTTCCTCAATTGCCTTAGTGCTGGGGTTTCAGACAAAGGCCATCACTCTTTCTGGACCTCATATAAGTAAGTGGAGCCATATAGTATTGTCTTCTTGTGACTAGTTTATTCACTAGTATAGTGGCCTTGGGTTCATCTATATCTCCCTGTAGCCCCAGCTGGCCTGGAACTCACTATGTAGAGCAGACTGGCCTTGAACTCACAGAGTTCTGCCTGCCTCTGACTCCCAAGTGCTGTGACGAAAGGCATGTACCATCACACCCAGCCAGAGTTGTTTTCTTTTCAAGCTTAAATAATATGTATTCACAAACCACATCTTTGTTTATCCATTCATCTGGGGATGGACATTTGGGTTGTTCCTACATTTGCCCCACTGTGAATAATTCAGCTATGGACTTGTATATACAAGTATCTCCTTGAAATCCTATTTTCAAGTACATGAAGGGGTGCATATCCAGAAATGGAATTGCTAGTTCATGTAGACTCTATTTTGGTTTTCATATAATACCATTTTTAGTCTTTTTGAGGATTCACTACAATTTTCAGTAGCCATTGCTGCACCTTTTTATCCACCAACAGTGCACAAAGGTTCCATTCTTTTCCTACATCTTCTCAAAACCTCCTTCTTTCATCTGGGCATGGTGGCACACACCTTTAATTCCAGCACTTGGGCGAGGTAAAGGCAGGTGGAGCTCTGTAAGATAGAAGTCAGCTTGGGCTATATAGAGTTCCAGAACAGCTGGGGCTACAAAGAGAGATCCTGTCTCAAAAATAAAACAAAATAAAACAAACTCCCTCTTTCTTCTTCTTCAGTAGTAGGTATCCTAAAGTGTATGAGTACCTTTGATTGCATTTCCCCAGGATTGAACACTTTCATGTGTTAGATGGTATTTGTAGATCTCCTTTGGAGAAAAAGTCTGTCCAAGTTCTTTATCCACAGTCCTTTCTCTATATTTTAAACTTTTTCTTTGACCATTATAAAATCCAGACTTTTTTGGGGGGGTTGTTATAGTTCTTTGGGGTTAGAGAGATGGCTCGGTGGTTAAGAGCACTGGCTGCTCTTGCAGAGGAACCGGGTTCGATTCCTAGCACCCACATGGATATTGACCGCCTTTAATTCCAGTTCCAGAGAATCCGAAACCCTCTTCTGACCTCCACGGCCATTGCACAACACGACTGCACTTACACACATGCAGGCTATACATTCGCACACGTAAAATAAAATTTAAAAAATATATACGTATATATACATATATATGTATATAGTTTTTGTATGATCTGGATGCACATTCCTTACCAAAACTGCATTACCTTCATTCTGTTTGTAGCTCTAGCCACCACTTACAGTATCTAGAATATTCGCCAGACATTTTCAACACTTCTCAATCTTGTGAGAAAATTAAAACTCAGAGATTGAAGAAGTTACCCTAGACTGCATTCTAAGTCAAGCTATAAACTCATCAGCTGAGCCTGGACCGGTCTTGGAATTTACTGTTCAGGGACTTAAGACCAGATACGGTGAAGGATCAGGGTATGCAAATGGTGCTGGCAAACAGGTAAGCCTTCCCACAGCCAGGAACCGAGCTGACGCGGATCTGCGGAACACTGCAAAGGGGCGCCGAGCTCCGCTCTACTTCCGGTGGGGAAGAAAAAGGGAACACTGCCGGAAGCGAGGAAGGTGCTGTGTAATCACTGAGGAGCTGAGGCACTTGTACGCTCCGAAAATGCCGGATTACCTGGGCGCTGATCAGCGGAAAACCAAAGAGGAGGAGAAGGACGACAAGCCCATCCGAGGTCAGTGGACGCCGAGCGCCCGGCGGCGGGACCAGCGCGGGCACGGCACAGGCGGGGTTCCCATGCGACCCCAGTGAGGCGGTCCCGGCCGCACTCCCGCCCGCCTCCTCTCCCCTCCCCACTTCAAGTTGTGAATTCATCTGCTGATAGTGTTATTTTATCCTCAGTCTTCAGGCTGCAGTCCCGCATCCTGCCGGGCCTTACGGGCCTTCCGAACGTTGCCCAGCCCGGCGGTGTTTGATTGCTCTGCCCGGTCCCCTCCCCTGCTGTGACTGCGTGGTGCGACCACTGTGTAGCGAGAATCCTGAAGCATGAATCCTTTAAGACAACCACGGTTATTTGACTAGATGATACTTTCAGAGGTTTAAAACTGGACTTGGGAGAGAATCTCGCATCCTTGACCCCAGATTCCAACCACCACCCAGGCAACTAATGTTCTAGACACTTTCCAGCACACACCTATAATGTAGCTTGCTGTACATCAGCATCTTGCATTTAGAGAGTTCATATATAGTCGGTGTTTGTCTCTGTGTGCTAATTAGTTATTGACAGATTTAGATTGTTTCAATCTATTACAAAGGATACAAAGGATCTTGTTCATATAACTTACCCCATGGAGTTGTACACTACATTCTAGAAGCGGAGTTATCATTTTGCGAAATTACTCTCCATTGAGACAAACCTAGTTGACTTTTTTTTCACACAGCGTGTGAGGTATGCTCACCATTTTTGGACACAGTTTCTTCCCAGTAGCTTTTGTTCTAATCTCATTTTTATGCTCCCCCCCCCTTTTTTTTTACCTTTAAAAGCTATTTTTTAAATCTTTTATTTATTATGTGTATGAGTGTTTTGCCTGCATGTATGTAAGTGCACCCATATTGTACAATGCCCAACGAGGCCGGAAGAAGGCATCAGATCCCCAGGAACTGGCGTTACTGGTTGTTAGCTGCCATGTGGGTGCTGGGAACTTAACCCAGGCCTTCTGGAAGAGCAACCAGTGCTTTTAACCACTGAGCCATCTCTCCAGCCCCTTAAAAGCTATTTTTTAAAAGCTGTCAATCTCATTTAGCACCCAGTATTCACCATTTACATCTCTTCCCCAGAGAGCACCTGCTGAAAGCGTTTTTCAGTCTTTATCCCACTCTTGCATTTGCTTTACAACGCTGAAACCTTCAGAGGTGCTCTACCTACTGGAAAGCTATGTCTTTCTCTTAATGTGTTATTCTGTGAAAGCATTGTTTTATTTTTTGGACACAGTAATGACTAATATATGGAGAATTTTCTGTTTCTTCATCTCTATCATATTTGATCTTTACAGAACACCATAAAGATAACTATTACTGGTTTTTTAGGTGATGAAATTAATGCTGGAGAAATTGTCATTTTTCAAACGTTCTCTATCAAATATATGACCTTATTTTCTGCTGGCCTACCCCCAGGTTGTTGCATACCGAAACCCCATGTTCTTTTGGCCTCCTGTGTTCATTATGTGGCATCATTCTGAGCGTGATCAGTAGTTGTAATGGTTTGCAGTCACCTCAATTCTGGTATTTTCATCATCACTGAGCCCCAGATGATAATCACGGGTAGACTTTATTATAAAGGAACCTACTTCCCTTCTAAAATGCCAACCTTTCTAGTGTGCTTTTTCTCCTCTTCTTTTGGGAACTTCATAGTTTCTTGTCTCTGCTCATGGTCTGCCTGTATTGTTCAAACAAGCTTAACTTCGTTGATGAAGTTACCTCCAATTCAAGCTTTCATTACTCAACTGGTTCCTACTGCTAATGTTTTGTGACTATTGACTCCACTGTGTTTGCCAGAGTAGTTGTTTCAAGGCTTTTATGTTTTCTTCAAGTCTTCAGTTTAGTTCCTATGTTCCTGACTGATGACTTTCCTCTGTACTGTAGAGACTGAGAATCCCCTCAAGAGTTCTCTTCTCTTCCCTGTTACCTTCCATTCTGGCCTGCTTCAGAGACATGATACCAATTTCTGTCAAATCTGGCTCTGCTCCTGACCTCATCTATCACTTTTTCCTCTGGGACTTTGTCATCTCTCCTATTTGTGCTCCTACAGAATTTCTCCTTTAGTTCCTATAAATATAATAATATATATTTTGTTTTAAAAACACACATGAGAAAATCTATTCAATCTATAACCCATTTTCTTTCTTTTCTTTTTTTTTCTTTTTTCTTTCTTTTTTTCTGCCTAAACATAGCTGAAAAGATGGGCCTGTAGTTAGGAAAACCTAGATTCGAAGATCTGACTCTTGGCTTTGGTTCTTGCTTATTGATTACATAATAACAAAGAAATTACTAGATTAATTTTTCTCAAGTATAATGTAGAAATAGTTGTATTTACAGGATTAAATAATATATCCATAATACATAGTATATTTGTAATCACCATTTCTGATACAGTGATTATTTCAGTACATGGCAGCTGCCATTGGCTCTGCTGTCTGGTTAGTTGGTAAGCATACCCTAAGCGTCTCTTCTTGTCTTCCCCTTTCCTTCTTTTCTCCTTCAGTATGTCCTCTAATGAATGGTTTCTCTAAAATTTTGTTTCTGGTGATTTCATCCACTCTCATCTTGTACTGCCTTTTCTCAAATATGATCTCTAGTTAATCTTTTTGACTTTATGTTGCCACATGAACTCTAGTTTAGTCTGATTTCTCTCTGCCTTCTAGCATGCCACATTGGGATATACTAGAATGTTAAGGAGTCCCTAAGACTACCATGAGATTTCAAAGTCTTAGATGTCATAGGGCTTATGTCTATGTCTTTATTACTGTGATTTATTTAGCAAAAATATATAAAGCAAAATCTGCCAAGACAGAAGGCACAGGGACAGATGGTGAATTTCTGGGGAAACCAGGAAGAAGTTTGCATGGTTGTTCTGGTGGAATCACACAGAATGCTCTTGATTTTTCTCAGCAACAGGATTTGAAACATGTGTAAAATAATTCAGGGAAGTACAATGGATACTCAGTGCCCAGTGTTTTTATTAGGGGCTGAATATCCAGGCAGCCTGAGCCTAGTCCATACCTAAATTCCAGACTCTCAGAAGAAAAACTGATACTCTGTAACAGTGTTGTTTGTGCAAAGAATTTAGACACAGTGATCTACTTTTTACTGGTTCTGAGAATGGTAGGAACTCTCTCAAAATCTAAGTTTTCAAATAACAGCTGAAGGCCAGCCATAGAAGCAGGACTTTCAAAGGCTGGTGGTCAAGCCAGCCATGTTAGCTTTCTCAAAAGTAGAAATACAAGTTTCAGAACATTGAAACGGAATGTAATATCACCCTCTGCCAGCCAGATTCTCTTGGGACCCCTCTATTTCTGTTGAAAGGTACCCATTCCACTGAAGTTCCCAGTGCAAAGCCTCTGTGCCATGTTTGATTCTTTCCTTCTTTGCTCCACACATTTAGTCTGTTGCAGTGTGCTTCAGAGTCTTCCTCTGAGGGCTTTATCTAACCTTGACTTTTCTGTTCTTTCTTTTTTTCCCTTCCTTTGCTTTTACAGTGCTAGGGATTGAACCTCAGGCCTCTTGCATGCTAGGCCCAACTCTGGTTTTACATTGCCACCTTTGTGAGATTCTTGTGACCTCTCACTCTCTTGGCCTCATATACTCTACTCTGCTCCTTGGCTGATTCTTCCTAAGGTCCAGTTATTTAATGTCAGGGTGTGCTGTGGCCCTTATGCACTCATACTGGCACTCCTGGGCTCCCTTGCCAGGGCCCTAAACCTCCAACAACAGAAGTTCATTACTCCTTAGCAAGTGCACTATGCTTCACCTAAACTGGTCTAGTTGCTGTTAGCTAAGCATATTGTTTCTTCTACTCAGACTTATTTAAAACAAATGACAAAAATGCCGATCTTTTCCTATGAAGATTTTTCCAGGTTGAATTTTTTTTCTTTAAAATATATAGTTGATTTTTAAAAAATATCCATGTTAAGTCTATAAAGCCCTTACAAATGGTGCATTAGCAAATATTGAACCACTGTATCTCATAGATTCTGTTAGATCTAGAAACAACTGATCCTGGCAGATGTTTATTTATTTTACAAAAGTAAAAACAATTCAGAAGTATTAAGTGACTTACCCAAGGCTATGCCACTGACAGATTCCAGAATTGGGGTTCATGTTCTGTCTATCTGGTGGCTGACCTTAGAATGTATCACATTACCACCTCCCCTGACCCATGCGCATCCTGTGGTCATCTCTGCATGAGAGTTGAAGCAAGAGGGTACTCTATTTATGTTCATGAATGACCACAAGAGCACACGAATATTGATTTGGGGATCATAGTTAAATTTTAATGACCAGAATGACCAAGCAAATTCACAGTACAGTAATCTACCATTAAAGAAGATTGAGTGTAATCATTTCAAATTCCAGGTAATCACTGATAACGTTTAGGTGATCACCAGTTAAGATGCTTCACAGTTTAAAAAAAAAATTCTGTATGTAAACAAATGCACATTCTGCATTTTTAACCTATTTCATTTAATAGTCCTTAGATTGCTTCCTATAAAACTGTTTCTTTATCATTTGCATTTTTAGTTATGTTGTGACCATAACATGATTATTCAGCCAAGATCCTTAATGAGTATGCTTTATATGTGCAGTATGTAATCATGCATATAATACATGCACTTTATTCCCCCTTCCCTAAAGTAGGTAAAAGCTCTTTAAATGTAGAAATGATTTGATGATTGTATTTATATCATTATATTCTTACTCAGTTTTTGGAACTCAGAACCATTTGAATTGAATAGAAAAGTTGGTAGGCTCCAATTTCTTGTTGAACCTCATGCCATGTATTATTTTTATTTATTTTTCAGCTTTGGATGAGGGGGATATTGCCTTGTTGAAAACTTACGTAAGTCTTTTAAATGGCTGAAAAATGTAGATTTTCTTTGTTTTTACTTTTTAAAATGTAGATGTTTTATATTAAAACAAAATTTGTTTTGGTTTTGTCTTTCTAAACTAATTAGAAGAGACTGCCTAACATTAATAATAATTAAGAAAAAGTCACCTATCTACAATTTCTGTCTAGATGAGATCAGAGAATCAGTATTTAGCATATTTAAACTTACACATATTTGTACAACTTCTAATTAATGAGTGGTGCTATTTAAGAAGATATTTGAAATAATTTATATAAATGTTTACTGTATTTAAAATGTGTTTGACTAACATAGATTTGAATAGGGAGAGGCTTCTTTTCAGCTAGGCATGATGGCTAAACCTGGCATTCGGAAGGATTACCACAAGTCTAAGGCCAGGTCAGCTACAGAGTAAGACAAAGGTCCCTTCATTTTTACCTTTCCTAATTGGTTAGTAGTATTCTGACAATGATAAACTTGTCTGTTTTAACTTCCCAAGCTTGAATTCAGTATGACTATTAAGACTGTAATTTAAAAAGTTTTATCTGACAGTTAATAAATTGCTGATATTCTAATGTTCTAATTAAACTGATCTTTATTGCCTAGGGTCAGAGTACTTACTCCAGGCAGATCAAGCAGGTTGAGGATGACATTCAGCAACTTCTCAAAAAAATTAATGAGCTCACTGGTATGCATTTTTTATCCCTATTTCCTTTCTTAAAATGATGTGTTGATTATATCAAAATGATTTAAATACAAATTTTACTCCATCATGAGTTACAGATTTAAAAAAAATCCTTCCTATCCTAAGAAATTGGATCTCATTTATTACTCTTTTACTATACATTTTCACTATACAAACATGTTTAATACTTGTGCAATTAAGAAGCATCATCCTTCAAGCAAGTAGTTTTTCTATTGATTAAAGCCTAGTTCAGTATGTTTTAATACAGCAACAATTTTTATTGAATAAAAATATGATTTGGGGGCTGGAGAGATGGCTCAGTGGGTAAGAACACTGGATGCTCTTGCAGAGGACCTGGGTTTGGTGCCTGGCACCCATATGGTGACTAACAACTGTTCGTAACCCCAGTTCCAAGGGATCCGACACCCACTTCTGGCCTCCTCAGGCATTATGTTCATAGGTGTACCCACACATGTAGACAAAACACATTAAATACAAATAAATAAAAAGTTTAAACATGATTTCATCTAGTATGACTGTTGCTTGGTTGTTGGCACTTTTCTTTCTTGAGAACTTGAATAGTGAAGTCCTGCAGTACAAAAATGTGCACAAAGCAAGTCAAGTATGACATTGCATTTTTGGTTTTTGATTGCTTTAGGGCAGTGTCTTTGGATGGGCCAGGGTAGTGATTTTGTCTGAAGGTACTTGGCAATATCCTGGAGATGACTGTAGTCCCACGACTTAAGGGAAGATGGTACTAGTGACATCTAGTGATTAGACACCAGGAATGCTGCTAAGCATCCTACAAATCACAGGACATCACCACCATAAAAAGTTATTGGGTCCAGGGGCTGGAGAAATGGCTCGGTGGTTAAGAACATTGGTTGTTCTTGCAGAAGACCCGGGTTCAAGTCCCAGCACCCACATGGCAGCTAACAACTATCCATAACTCCAGTTTCAGGGGATCCAACAGCCCTTCTGTCCTTCGTGGGCATTGCACAACATGGGTGCACTTATCTACACAGAGGCAATACATGCATACACATAAAAAAAAAGTTATTGGGTCCACAATGTCAATACTGCTGAGGCTGAGAAGGCTTAATGAATGATAATGTACTGCATTTTTGTGAATTGTGTCATCTTTCTCTACGTAGGTATTAAAGAGTCTGACACTGGCCTGGCACCACCAGCCCTTTGGGATTTGGCTGCGGATAAGCAGACTCTTCAGAGTGAACAGCCTTTACAGGTTGCGAGGTATGTACAGTGCTCTTTGAAATTTTATTTTTAAGCATATTTTAGATTTTGGGGGATAATGCAAAATTCATAAGGGATTTTTTTTGTTTCAAAGTTCATAAAGATTTCTACATAAGTATCTATACGTTAAAGTTACAATCATATAAAAGATTCAAATGATACAGAAAGATGCAGCACAAAATATGAAAACCTTAGTTCTCATCCTGCAGTGGCCACTACCTCAAACAGAACTACTGAGAATACTCTGATCCTTCTAATCCTCTTATGTATCTTTATGTGTATTATTGCATGCAAAGACATCTACCTTGAGGGTTTAATTTTTTTTTTTTTTTACCTTAGTGTGTGTGTACGCACACACATGCACATGTGCAAAGTGTAGGTGTGGGAGTCAGAAGACAACTTGTGAGAGTTCTCCTGCCATGTGGATTCTGGGGATCAAAGTCAGGGTCAGGCTTGGTGGCAAGCACCTTTACCTGCAGACCCATCTTAGTGATCCCTTGAGGGTTTTATTAAGGACATAACTACATTGTTTGAAAATCTATTGTCTTTAATATATGTATACTTTTTAATTTCCTTTTTCTTTTTTAAAAGTAATGTAATCCATAGATGGAAACTGTTTGCAATTTCTGTTATATACAGAGCTGTGGTGAATATCCATGTTCAGTATTTTTCTATTGATGGCTATAATGGCTCACACTTGTAATCCCAGTATTCGTGGGGCTAAGGCAGGAGGATTGCCATGAGTTGAGGCTAGCCTGAGGTACAGAGTGAGACTGTCTCAAAAGAAGCAAAAGCAAAACAAAATCTATGAAAGCAGGTGATTTTTGTGTTGTATATATCTAATCTTCCCCCTAACCCCCAACTGTCTTGCTGTTTAGACCTGGCTGGCCTAGAACTCTCTATGTAGACCAGGCTGACCTCTTTCTTCTGCCAGGGTGATCCTCTTTCTTCTGCCTCCTGAATGCTGGACTTACAAGTGTACCATACAATACCCACCCCTGGTTCTTTTTGAGGAGACATTTTATTCTGGTCCATTTTCCCTTTTTATTGATAATTGGGTGAAATATTATCTCATAGTTGTTAGTTCTTTAGACATGGCTTCCTTTAGTTCTTTGATAATATTTATGATACTGATTTAAAGTTTTTGTTTAATGAGAACAGCACCTGAGCTACCTGAGGAACAGTTTCTATTGATGCATTTGTTGCTATGGCTTATACGACAACTTCCTAATAAGAATTCTATATTCTGTCATTGATTTTCCTTAGTAGATATTGTGATACACATGGTATTATATATTAACTTTTACCAGATCCCACAGAGTGAACACTTTCAAATTGAAAATGGATCTAAAATGTAAACTAAGGAAAAAATGAATACTCATAGATTACTGAATTTTATGTAAGGCACTTGACTATCTTGTGGGAAAGCAACCTTAGATAAAAAGGTCTATCACTAATAATAATGGAATATAAAAAGGAAGTTCAAACTTGAGAACTTGCTAATGAAACTTTGGGGTTTAGTTTTTCTGGGAAAATTAATCATTTGAAAACTTAGTGGTTCTGCTTAAGCTGAGTGGTCCCTTGGGGTTGGGCATAGAATATGATCTTTAGCAGTGGCCTGCTTTCTACAGTTCTAGACTACAGACCCCAATGAGGAGTCTAGTTATTTAGTTCCTTTCTCTAATGAAGCCTTTTGCTGTGTTAGGTGTACAAAGATAATCAATGCTGATTCAGAGGACCCAAAATACATTATCAATGTGAAGCAGTTTGCCAAGTTTGTGGTGGATCTCAGTGATCAAGTGGCACCTACTGACATTGAAGAAGGGATGAGAGTTGGGTAAGATTTCTACTTTTGAGAAGTACTCTTCCTTCATTAAAAACACATGTCGAGCTCACATCTTAGCTTTGCTGTGAATGAATGAACAGAATGCCATGGAATGCCAAGGGTGATTAGTACAGCTTAACAGTCTTGTCTTTTCCGTGTGCTCCCTATGTTCAACCAGCTTTGCCTTCCCACTCCCACTACTGCTTTTTTATGAATCGCATCCAGGGTCATAATTAAAGAAGTGTAGGAAAGATAGAGACAGTACTTGTTTGAGAACAGTTCATGAATGAAGTTAATATCTAAAGAATATATAATAATTAACTCAGTAAATTTTTATATCTTTTCTTCTCCTTTGGGTCAAGGGTTTCATTGCTGTTATAGGTTATTTGCCACTTCAAACAGATGATTTAATGTATTTAATTTCAATCCTGTCTCTGAGTTTGCTTATGGTGTTGTTTTGAAGATAAAGATTAACATTAAAAGACCTCTGAAAATTTAAAGAGCCTATCTTTTTTTCCTTTCTTAGTGTGGACAGAAATAAGTATCAAATTCATATCCCACTACCTCCTAAGATTGATCCAACAGTTACTATGATGCAGGTAAGAAACTTTTGGAAGAAAGGATTGACATGACTTTTAATACAATTGTAAGCCAGGCATAGTGGCTCACATTTGTAATCCCAGCACTCAGGCAGGTGCATTGCCATGAGTTCAAGGCCAACCTTGGCTACATAGTGAGTTTCAGGCTAGCTTGGGCTACAGAGTAAAAGCCTGTCTCATAAAAACTAAAAACTGAAACAAATAGAACCCCCCCCCCAAAAAAAACCATCCATTCCAAAAAAGTTAAAAAATTTGAAGCAGCTAATGTATGGTTGTATACCAAAAAATTACCAGAAATTAAAAAACACTCAGAAAGGTACTGGGTATGTTGGTGCACACCTTTAATCTTAGCATTCAGGAGGTAGAGGCAGATGGATCTCTGTGAGTTCCAGGCCAGCCTAGTTGCTACATAGTGAGACCTTGTTATAAAAAACAAAAACAAACTTTGACACACAAAAATGAGAAAGGAAAGTCCTTATCAATTTTTAGCACTCATTAATGTCATAACATGTAACACAGCAAATAGTTTTAAGACATTGGAGTTAATGCCATAGCATGTAACATAGCTAATAGTTCTAATTCTATTTTTATTAAAATTATTACAGACTGATTTTAATGGTATTAATTCTCTTGTAGAGGATTTGGTCTGGTATTCAGAAGCCTATGACTGTGTTATGCAATCTTTCTCTCTCAGGTAGAAGAAAAACCTGATGTCACATACAGTGATGTTGGTGGCTGTAAAGAACAGATTGAGAAATTGCGAGAAGTAGTTGAAACACCCCTGCTTCATGTAAGTAGCCGAGTGTCGTGTTTCACTTCCTGTGTGTAAAGATGCAACAGTCTTCCTGTGTAGTGACACTAGCTTTGTTTGTGTATTAGATAGCTTTTAAATAGATTTTTCTTAATGAAAATTTTGATAGGGTAAAGTTTTGGAGAGATGGTTAAATCTCAGAAGAGAGCAAGCGAAAGGATTGTGTGGCCAAGTGCTTTTAAAGGAAAGATCTGCTATTTAGGGTAACAAAAGAAATTGTGTAACCTCTAGTATTACTGTTATGATAGAAGAAACTAGGTGTTCTAGTAACATTAAGAGGGAAAAGTTAAAGCTGGGAGGTTAATGGAATACAGAATACCAGTTAATGCTTTCATTTTTTAAACACTATAATTTTCTATAAAGGGAAATATTAAGACTGCATAATCTGGGGCTGCAGAGATGACTCAGCAGTTAAGAGCACTGGCTTTTCTTGCAGAAGACCCAGGTTCGAATCCCAGTGTCCACATAGCAGCTAACAGTTGTCTGTAACTCCAGTTCCAGGGATCTGACATCCTCGTCTGTCCTCCATGGGCACTGCACAACATGGGTACACTTACACACATGCAGGCATAACACTCATACACATAAAAAGACTGTGTAATGATGGGCTGTATAGATGACTCAGTGGTTAAGAGTACTGGCCTTTCTTACAGAAGACCTGGGTTCGGTTCCCAGTACCCACATGGCAGCTAACAACCACCTGTAACTCCAGTTCCATGGGATCCAACACCCTTTTCTGGCCTTTATGAGTATCACACAACACAGGTGCACTGACATACATGCAGGCAAAACATTCATATACATAAAATAAATAAATTTTAAAAGACTACATAATCAAAATATCTTTAACAATCATTTAGATGCATTGATAGGTATATTTTAGATATGTCTTAAGAGTAAGATAAGTATAAAAAATATGGATCTAATTTTCTTATACAGAAGTTCTATTTTTCTTATACAGAAATAATAAGTGTAAAATTTTCTCTATCACAGCCAGAGAGGTTTGTTAACCTTGGAATTGAGCCTCCAAAGGGTGTGCTGCTGTTTGGTCCCCCAGGCACAGGAAAGACACTCTGTGCTAGAGCAGTTGCTAATAGGACTGACGCTTGCTTCATTCGAGTTATTGGATCTGAACTTGTACAGAAATACGTTGGCGAGGTAAAGTAAATTTATCAAAATTAAGGCACCTATTGCTCTGTGAGAGGTTTGTGATATATGGGTAAAATTAAAAGTAATTCCAAATAGACCACCACTTAAAATTTTAACCATGGTTCCTTCTTGGAAGGATATTTAGTATAGCTTTAGTTTGTGAGGAAAAACCCAGAAATACTTAGTGAGTGAAATATTATCTTGGGGAAAGTATTTTATGGACTAATGAGAAAGAGAAACATGAACTATCAGTATGTATGTGCATAGGTATATATACACGTACATGAATATCTATACATGTACCTGAATATGTTTCTATCTATCTATCTATCTATCTATCTATCTATCTATCTATCTATCTATCTATCATCTGTCTGTCTATCATCTATCTATCTATCTATCTATCTATCTATCTATCTATATGCATGTATACAAATATCTGTATATGTACCTGAAAAAAAAATATATATATATAAATTTTTTATCTAGGTGAAAGTTTAGAACTGTATATATTATATCTGAAACATACTAATGCTTAGTATACTTGAAATAAGAATTACAAAAAGAGGGTCAGGCATTTAATCTCAGCACTCAGGAAGCAGAGACAGGGGGAATCTCTGTGAGATTGAGGCCAGCCTGGTCTACAAGGTGAGTTCTAGGCTAGCTGAGACCTGTCTCAAAATACAAAAAAACAAAAAGAGCTACATGACTGTATATATTTTAATTTTCTGATCAAAACTTAGAAATCAAATTCAATGATCAATAATTCCAAATGATAGTTCTTTATTTCCTCAAGTTTTGCTGATCTTATTTAAGCATGTTAACTTGACCCCTTCAGATCTTAACTTTGGTGCTATTTAACAAATATGGAATCATGAGAATTATGTATGGAGGCTAATAATATGAATTTGTTATTATAGGTGAAAAACCAGTCATTTAACAAAAACTTCGGGTGGTAATGACTGAGAATACTGTTAGGAAAAACATGGGAAAATGTGAAACATACCTGTGTGTTTTACTTTAAAAGATCTTTAAACCTATTCTGGATTAATAAATCAAATTTTCTCCCTTAGGGGGCTCGAATGGTTCGTGAGCTCTTTGAAATGGCCAGAACAAAAAAAGCCTGTCTTATTTTCTTTGATGAAATTGATGCCATTGGAGGTATGAATGATATTTATTTATCATTACATTTATTTATTTGTGCGTGTGCATATGTCTGTGCATGTGCATGCATGCACTCATGCCAAGGTACATTTTGGTTATAGGGCAAGCCATAGGAGTCAGTTCTTTCTACCATGTGGGTCAAGAACTATTGTGTTAGTTACTTTTCTGGTGCTATGATAAAACACCATGACCAAAGCCACTCATAGAAGGAAGAGTTTTTTTGGCCATGGCTCCAGAGGGAGAGTCCATGGTGGCATGGGAGGCGTGGCAATAGGAGGTGGCCAGAGCAGCTCACATCTTCAAGCAGGCACAAGAAGCTAAGAGCAACTGGAAATCCTGAGAGGCTTAAGAACTCTCAAAGCCTGGCCTGCTTTGACCAGCTTCCTTCAGCATGGCCACACCAACTAAAAGTTCCATGACCCTCTCCAAACAACTCCAGGAACTGGAGACCCAAGGGTTTAAATACTCAGAGCCTATGGGGGATACTCATTCAAACCACCACAGCTGGTGAAGTTCTAAAGTGATAAAGTAGAGTTCTCCTGATATGTTAATCTTGTACAAAATTTTAACTCCAAATTATGACCTCTGGGCTTTAGAGCTACTAAACAGTGTGACTAAACTATATGAAAAGATATAATTAGTGTTGATATGTTTATACTAATTAATTTTATTCTGGGACATAAATTTCCACAGTTTTAACAACTAAGTTGAAGTGAGGGATCTTCCTTTTATGTGATAAGAAAGTGCTGGGATATGATTAAAGTGGTGTTAGTTTATCTTAGTTTACATAAAATAATGTGGTTTTTTTTTTATTTCATAGATTTAATGAAATACAGTGTTAGCCACATGATCTAGATCTAGACAAGTTATTTTAACTAACATTGGAGCCTTAGTTTACTCAATTCTAAGGAATCATTATTCTTGCCTTACTTATTTTATGAATCTTTGACAGGTTCAGATTAAGTAATAAATGTGATAAACTTAGAAAACACTGAACTATCATAGGTGTTGGCTGTTGCTGTAGAATGCTAATCCTTAGTAGCTGTGAAAGTATCTTATCTTCAGATAGTTTGCTGTTATTCAGTGAATTTATTATTGACAAAAATGACTAGAAGATATGACAGATCCTTTTACATTGTTTGGGCAATGTGGTTAGGTACCTAGTGTCTTGTTTTTCATGAGTTGGGCATTGTCGGGTTTGGGCTCCCAATATAATGTTGCAGCATTTTGATTCTGAAGTAACTTTTATAGTATCTTTGGAATAAGCCTTGTGATGTTAGGGAATTCTGAAGCTGTGGTTTCCAAAGTATATTGTTTTAGGATAGTTTTTAGGGTACAGGAAGAAAAATACAAAGCTTTGTGTATTTTTCTAACTCCAGTTTTTTGAAAAATTGGTGTGTGTGTGTTTTCAGATAAGAGTCTTGCTGTGTATTCAGGCTGGTCTTGAACTTATCTCTTTCCTCAGCCAAATATGATATATGCTACCACTTTTGGCTTAATCTCATTTAAAATGCCAGTTTTGGTGTGTTAGTATATACTAATTATACATAATTTTGATGAGTTTTTGTTATGACATTTTCATCAGTGCATTTCATGGATTTGGGTCATATTCATCCCTATTACCCTTTCTTATCCTTCTTCCACTCCAGCTGATCCCCATCCTCTTCCCAGCTATTCCTCATTCTGCTTTTGAGACTGTTTTCTTTGGTGAACTAATGTGTTTGTGTACTTAAGGAGTGTGGGTGAAAGATTGTTACAGGACCATGGGCAACTTAGCAGTGGCTACACCACTGAAGAAAGTGCCTCTCCATCCCCCAGCAACCATTAATTGCCTATAGATGCTCAGGGAGGAATGGGGCCTCATGAATCCCCCTGCACCAGCACCATTAACTGCCTATATATATCCTTAGGGAGCAATGGCCCCCAATAAGCCACCCCTACTCCTTGATGGAATGTTGATGGTCCCTTGGGGACCTGCATAAGACCTGCATTTGTAGGTTTTATGCAGATAGTCACAGCTGCTAAGAGTTCAAGAGTTTAGTGGCTATGTCATACCCAGAAGACAGTGCTCTATAACATTCCACTTCTTTCTCTGGCTCTCAAATTCTTTCTACCCCCTCTTTCTTGATAGTCCTTGAGCCTTGGAGGGAGTGGTATAGATGTCCCATTTTATAGCTGAGCACTCAACAGTCACTTATTCTCACGACTTAAATCAGTTATGAGTCTTTGCAGTAACTTCTGTCCACTGCAAAAAGAAACTTCTCTGACCAAAGCTTTCAATAGCACTAATATGGGCATAAACATAAATATTTGGAAGGCAGTTTGACAGGCATCTCATATCCATTTAGCAAAACAATAGCAGTAATTTCTCCACTAGGGCCTATGACCTCCTGAGCCCCTGACTTTTTTTTTTTTTTTTTTTTTTTGTCTTTTTGAGACAGGGAGACCCTGTAGCCCCAGCTGGCCTGAAACTCCCTATGTAGACCAGGCTGGCCTTGAATTCACAAGAGATCCACCTGCCTCTGCCTCCCAAGTGCTGGGGTTAAAGGTATGTGTCACCACACCCAGCTTGAGCCACTGACTTTTGACCGAGTTTCCTGTACTGGATGTGAATTCTTTTCTGATTAAGACTTTGGATGACCATTTTCCCCCAGCAGCCTGCATAACTTTCTAGTACTATAAAACTAGACAGCAGGGAGGAAGCTTCCAGCTCATTTCCAGCATGATTTCTCTGTTTTGAAACTAAAGTGTGACATGTCTTCAGCCATAGGGTCTCCCATCCAGTTCCGCTGGGCAGCCAACAACAGTAGCAATTGGCCTGTATCACTATGGGGGCCTCAGAGGCCTCCCTCACTAACAGCTTCTAGGGAGTAGCCTGCTCCTGGCACTAGGATTTTCATTTAATAACCTTATGTCTTCTGGCATAAGTGGCTTCATTCACTCTTGTAGGGTGCTTTCATTCAAATTTTAAGAAAATATTAGAAGCTTTGTACATGTCTAGATTATATGTTGAGCGTATTCTCCCTTATACTCCCTCCACTTCCTTTTCTCACCCCTCCCCTCCCTTTGTCTACTTTCTCTGTTTAGGCAACTTTCTACTTTCAAGTCATTGGGGGCTGGTGGGGGGAGTTAGTTTATCTATATAAAATCCAGGAACCAAGGGTGAGAGAAAGAATCTGATACTCGTTTTTCTGTGATTAACTTCATTTACTTAATATGATTATTTCCAGTTGCATCTCTTTTCCTGCCAGCAACATACCTGTTCTTATTTATGCCTGAAAAAAATTCCATTGCATACATATGCCATATTTTCTTTATCAGTTACTCTGTTGTTGGATACCTGGGTTGGTTCCATAATTTAGCTATTGTTAATAGTGCTGCAATAAACATTGACATGCAGGTATATCTGTTTTATGTTGACTTGGAATCCTCTGGATAAATACCCAGGAATGGATTATTAGCTGGATCACATGGATCACATTAGTTTTTTGAGAAATTTCCATAGTGATTGAATAGTGTATAAGCATTCCTTTTTGTCCACATCTTCACCAGAATTTATTTTTTCTTTCATCTTTATTATTATTATATTTTTAAAATTGTGTGTATATGTGGCTGACTGTATGTGGAGGTTTGTGGTGGTGGGTGCAGTGCCTATGGAAGCCAGAAGAGGGTGTCAGATTCCCTGGAGCTGGAATTATAGGCAGTTTGACAAGGGTGTTGGGAATCATACGAGCTGGAGTTATAGGCAGTTTGACATGGGTGTTGGGAATCATACGCTGGTCCTCTGTAAGAGGTACATGCTCTTCTTAATCACTGAGCCATCGCTCCAGCCCCCCCCCGCCCCCGCACTCCCCTCCTTTTTTTAAACTTTGCTTTTAATGTATGTGTGCATGTGCATGTATTTGGGCATGTGCTTACTATGGTACAAATGTGGAGGTCAGAGGATAACTTGTAGGACTCATTTTCTCCCTTCTACCCTGTGGGTCCTGGGGATTTGCCAGTAAGCCTCTGTACCCCACTGACCCATCTCACTGGCCCATTATTTGTTTTCTTAGTGAATGCCATTGTGACTGGGTAAGATGGTGTATCAGTGTAGTTTTGATTTGCATTTATTATGGCTAGTAAAGTTGAACAGTTTTTCATATGTTTATTATTCATTTGTATTTCCTCTTTTGAGAACTCTCATTTCACTAACCCATTTGTCGATTGGGTTGTTTGATACCTTGTTTAGTTTTTTTCTTTTTAGTTCTTTGTATATTCTACATATTAATCTGTCAGATGTATAGCTTACAAAGATTTTCTCCTTTTCTATAGGCTATCTCTTCATTCAGTTAACTATTTTCTTTGCTATACAGAGGCTTTCTAATTTCATGAGGTCTCATTTGTCAGTTGGCCTTATTTCCTGAACAACTGGAATCATATTGAGACAGTCTTTATCTATAACTTGAAATTCTCTATTTTTCCCTCTAACAATTTCAGAATTTCAGGTCTTACATTAAGATCCTTGATTGATTTGGAGTTTATTTGTCTGCAGGACAAGATACAGGAATCTTATTTCGTTTTCTACTTAGAGATATCCAGTTTTGCCAGTACCATTTGTTGAAGAGGCAGTCTTTTCTCCAATGTGCAATTAATTGGCGTCTTTGTTAAAAAATCACGTTGTTGTAGCTGCATCAGTTTGTATGTATATGGGTCTTCTGCCACAGGAGCTCAGGGATTATAGATGTGCCCTACCCTCCGCCTTTCTTCCTTGTGTGTTCTGGAGATCAAACTCAGTTCTTCAGGCTTGCATGACAAGAGCTTTTACTGAAATAGTGAGCCATCTCTTTGGCCTGGTATTAGTTCTTTAAAGGTCTGGTACCATTTGCAGTGGATCCATTTTGGCTTGGGCTATTTTTAGTGTGAAGAGTTGTTTTTTAAACTGCTTCAATCTCACTGCTTGTTATAAATCTGTTTAAATTGCTTATCTCATCTTGGTTTAACTTTGATAGGTCATATGCGTCTAAAAAATAATCTAGTTTTAGATTTTTCCAATTCAATGAAATACTAGTTCTAAAAGTATGTGCCTACAATTTCATTTCTAATTTTATTAATTTGGGTCTTCTCTTTTTTGGTTAATCTGGCTAAGGGTTTATCCATCTTATTTTTTCAAAGAACCGACTCTGTGTTGCGTTGATTCTCTGTTCTTTTTTTTTTTTTTTTCATTTATATTAATTTCTGCCTCATCTTAACTTTTAAAAAAAATGCCTACTGCTTTTGGTTATATTTGGTTTTCCAAAGCCCTAAGGTATATCGTTGTTACTTATTTGAGATCTCTCTTTTTTTGAGACAGGGTTTTGCTATGTAGCCCTTGCATGCCTAGAACCTGCTGTGTAGAGCAAGCTGGCCTCCAATTCAGAGACCCACCTGTCTTTGCCTTCCAAGTGCTGGGATTAAAGGTATGTGCCACAACACCTGACCAGAGATTCTCTTTTTAATGTAATCACTTATACCCATGAACTTCCTTTCACTATATCCCATAGGTTTTGGTATACTGTATTTTCATTTTCATCCAGTCTAGGAATTTTTAATTTTCTTTCTTGATTTCTTTAATGACTCATTCATTAGTCCATGGTGTGCTGTTTATTTTCCATGAGCTTGATTGCTATTGATTTCTTGCTTTATTCTACTGTGGTCAGATAGAATATAAGAAGTTATTTCAGTTTTTTTATGTTTGTGGAGACTTGCTGTGTGTCCTGATATATGATCTATTTAGAGAATGTTCCATGGGCTGCTGAGAAGAATGTGTGTATTCTGCAGTGTTTAGATAGAATGTTCTGTAGATGTCTGTTAGGTCCATTTGATCTATGATGTCATCTTACTCCATCTTTTTTATTGGTGAGAGTGGGGTATTGAAGTCACCTACTATTAATGTGTTGGGGTTAATTTGTGCCTTTAGTCTAGTAGTATTTGTTCTATGAAATTGTGTGCACTGGTGTTCAGTGCATATATGTTTAGAATTGTAATGTCCTCTTGATAGATTATTCCCTTGATCAGTATGAAGTGACTATCTTTTCTGACTAGTTTTGGTTTGAAGTCTGTTTTGTTAGATATTAGAATAGTAACATCTGCTTGTTTCCTGGTTCCATTTGTTTGGAATACCTTTTTCCATTCTTATACCCTAAGTAGTGTCTATCTTTGATGATGAGGCAACAAGTAGACGACCTGTTTTTAATTTTTTTTTTAATGTGTATGTAAGTGCACTTCCTGTGTGCAATGCTGAGTGAGGCCAGAAGAGGTCATGGATCCCCTGGAACTAGAGTTATAGATGGTTGTTAGCTGCCATGTAGGTGCTGGGAACTGAACCCAGGTCCTCTGTAAGAGTAGCAAGTGCTTTTAACAACCGAGCCATCTCTCCAGCCTCTGTATCCCATTTTTAATTCAACGCTAGTCTATATCTTTTGATTAGGGACTTGACTATGTGAGGGTGCATATATATGTGTGTACTCATGTATGGAGGTCAGAGATCAACATTGAGTGTTTTCCTCAGTCACTGTCCACCTTATTCTTTGAGACAGGGTCTCACTGAACTTGAAGCTCACCAATTTGTCTAGGCTGGCTGACCAGCAAGCTCCAGAGATCTTCCTGTTTCTACCTCCCCAGTACTGGGATTATAGGTGCACACTGCTGTGTCCAGCTTTTTACATGGGTACCAGGGATGGAAACACAGGTTCTCATGTTTACTGACTGAGTTATTTCCCCAGCCCCTGGATCATGTTTTTAAATCCAGTTTGCTAGTCTTCATCTTTTGATTGTTGAATTGATACCATTGCTATTCAGTTGTTATTGAAAGGCTTGTATTCCTGTCATTTTATATGTTTGTAGTGTTTGATGTCTTCCTAATCCTCATTTGGTTAACAACTGTTCTAGCATTATTTTTCCCCCTATAGTCTCTTAGATGTGTTTCTCTTTCTCTTCAGTCCAAAAAACTTCTTTTCAGCATTCTTGGTAGAACTGAGTTAATGGTCCTAAGTTCCTTAAGCCTCCAGTTATTCTCATTGAAAAGAAGGTTAAGGATAGACTAACAGATAATGTGGAACAGTCCCATCTCTCAGGCTAAGCCACAGGGACCCTCCAGACCAGGACAGTCTGTGTTTTCTGGGAATGGAAAACGAAAAACAGAAAAGTGTAAGTGGGATGAGGTGATATAGGCAAGAGCTGGGCAGGCAGAAGCTGGCCTGCTCAATTCACACTGGGAATTGGATAAGGAGAAACAGTTGTAGATGAGATATAGGGGTGTAGGATGAGGACACAGTTGTGCTAGCAGCTGACATCTAATATTTGTTTCCACACTCATCGAACCAGTGTAAATCTTAAAGATGTGAGCTTGATAAAGATGGGATATAGGATGTGAGAACCACCTGGTCTGCCTGCTGGATTCTCAGCGTTTCTTCCCCTCTTCCTTCAAGCCTGTCTGAGCCTTTTAGGATCCTCTGTGATGGTAGTCCTATTCTCTGCCCTGGGTCTTAGTTTGGACAATGAGATCACAGATGCTGTTCCAGTCCGTGGATGGTGGTTCACAGATGGAGTCGCAGATACCCAGGACAACTGTGCAGATTCTTTCAGGGTTCCTGGTTACAGATACTAGCTACACCTGTGTATTTCCCAATTCCTTCACACAGCTTAGAATTCGGGTGAAAGTTCCCCTGCAGATTTTGGTTCCCACCAGGCTTGCAGCTTGCTGAATGTTATACAGATCTGATTCCACCATCTAGCAGTATTCTGTTGGCCAGGTTTCAGCATTTAGTCTTGTGATACTTGCCAGGTTTGCCAAGAGTATGGTTCACAGAGGGTCTTTAGCTGCCAAGCTGCCAACACAACAGACGTATATTTGGTTGGTGTTTTATCAGTTACCTAGTGCTGAGCACTCAGCTGAAGAGAAGGGGCTTTTCTTGTATCTCCCTCTGCTAATACTCCTGCTGCCGTAAGTATGGCCCTTTACCACCTGTTTAGAATGCCTAATACTCTTTATTTTTTTACTTCATGTGCATCTATCTCTGTGTGGGTGTGCGTGCCTTTGGAGGCCAGAAGAGGGTGTCTGATTCCCTGGAGCTGGAGTTTCCAGTGGTTATGAGCTTTCTGATGTTGGAACCGATCTTGGGTCTTCTGGAAGAGCAGCAAGTGCTTTTAACTGCTGAACCATCTCCCCAGCCAATGCTCATTTGATAGCTGTTTTTCAGCTTTCCCAGATCATTCCCTGGCAATTCTGGCAGACTATGCCTGAATGATATCTGCCATCCTGACCCTTGCCCTGCAGGAGTATTCTTGCTTGTTTTGAAAATTTCCTTAAGGAAGATCTTCAAAGATACTTTAAAGGAGACTATCAAATAAACTTATGGTGAATTCTTTCTAAAGCAATTAGATGCTTTCCGATTAGTCTTGTGGTCTCAAAGTGGGGTGTGCACTTTGCTCCCAGGGAATGGTGTGAGCCAGGGTGTGCTGTTTTCAGTGGAAACGAGGTGCTTTTCTGTTATCTTCTCAGGGGCTCGGTTTGATGATGGCGCTGGAGGTGACAATGAAGTGCAGAGAACAATGTTGGAGCTGATCAACCAGCTGGATGGTTTTGATCCTCGAGGCAACATCAAGGTTCTGATGGCCACTAACCGACCTGATACTTTGGACCCAGCACTGATGAGGCCAGGGAGGTTGGATAGAAAGATTGAATTTAGTTTGCCTGATTTGGAGGTAAAAAAAAAAAAAAAAAATTGTTTTGGAAAAGGATTCTTGAAGTTTGTATTTCTATGATGTGCCTTCATTTTTAATTTTTGTAAATGCCTTCATTTTTAGGGTCGGACTCACATCTTTAAGATTCATGCTCGTTCAATGAGTGTTGAAAGAGATATTAGATTTGAATTGTTAGCACGGCTGTGTCCAAATAGCACTGGTAAGTGACAGGGTCTTGCTTATTTTGCTGGTCTTTTCTTTGGGCTACTTTAATTAAGCCTACTTGTTTGCTTTTTGTTGGACAGGAGCAGAGATTAGAAGCGTCTGCACAGAAGCTGGCATGTTTGCAATCCGAGCTCGGCGAAAAATTGCTACTGAGAAGGATTTCTTGGAAGCTGTAAATAAGGTCATTAAGTCTTATGCTAAATTCAGTGCTACTCCTCGATACATGACATACAACTGAGCCCCAAAGGCTTTCAAGTGGAAAAACTTTCTTTAGTTGACATCCTAAGCTTACAATAGACTTGTTACCACCTCATAAGAAAATAAAAGATTTCAAAATTGTATAAGTTCATCCAGATCTCTTTTCTCTATAGTATAATATTAGTCAGAAAAGCTTGTTATGATGTATTATTGACTGATTTCTGATCCTCCATCATCTAAGGTTTGATGCATAAGTACTTTCTATGCCTGTTTATAATTTTTGCTCAGCCTATGCTGGCTGGGTTCTGGGCATCTATTATTTCATTGTCTCCCATCTGCCCAGTGAAGATCACAGATCTTGAATTCACAGATGCAAGAAGTTGAAGTTTGTTAGTGCCTATGCTCTTCTGTTCCTCATCACAATAGTCATGTAGGCACGTAAACACATGGGTCATGGTAATTTTCATCCACCAAGTTGAATAGTAGGTTTCAGCCAAACGTATCACTGAGTTAGCCATAGCCCTAGTCCAGGTCAAATTTTTTTTTTCAAGTGAAAGAAACATTTGATGTATTTTCTTCTGTCATTTGACTTCAAATTAATTAAGAATTGTTGGTTTTAATGAACAGTGAGATGGTAGGAGGTAAAGCAAAAGGAAAAATGTACTCATGATAATTTAGGAACTCCAGAATTGTGTTTTTACTTACATTGGGTTAAGTTTTTTGTTGTTATTCTTTGAGACAGGGTTTCCCTGTAGTCCCAGCTGGCCTGGAACTGGCTATATAGACCAAGCTGACCTTGATCTCACTGAGATCCGCCTCCTGAGTGTTGGAATTAAAGGCATGTTGCCACCATGCCCAGCTAATTGGGTTAACTTTATAGAAAAAAAAAACATTATTTTCATAAAAAATTAGTGGTTGAGGTAAAGTTCCAGTTAAATTTCTTGTCTACAGTGACTTATTTTTAAAATAAAGACGGGTTAGAATCCTCAACAAATCTCCATAAAATTATTTCTTGAAAAACTACCACCAAAAGCTTTTTTTATATGTGTATGTAAGTGCATGTGTGTGTAGAGGCCAGAGGTCAACCTCAGATGTTTTTTTTCAGCTGTCCACCTTGTTTTTGACAGGTGTGTTTCAGTGGGACCTAACCTGCAAGTGAGCCCCAGGGATCTTCCCATCTCCGCCTAATACCACCATGCCTAGCTTTTTAAAATTTAGGTTCTAGGGATTGAATTTAGGTCCTGTTGTTTACACAGCACTTTATAGACCAAGCTATCTCCCAGCCCCCAAATCTTTTTTTTTTTTAAATCAAAAGAACTCTCCTCCCAAGTACTGAGACCAAAGCACAATAGGCAATATTTTTATTGAAATGCAGTATTCACAAATAAATTGCAAAATAACAAGAACTAGATACATTTTTTTAAGTAACAACAGTTTAGACCACAGAAAATGCTGTGTTACACTGAAATTCTAAGTTTATGAACGTTTTCAAGTAGAAAGCTCTTTGTAAAATACCATGTGCCCTCTTGATTTCTGATTAGAAAAAGTCTAACCCTGTCCTAGTCTTTCTTGAGGTATAAAGTAGAGCAAACTATTTTCAGGTGATGATCACAGGTCATGAACCCAAGTCAGTGACTGGAGATGTATGTTTTGTTTTATTTTTTTAAATTTTATTTATTATTTTTATTTTATATGTATGCATGTATTGCCTGCATGTAGGTAAGTGCACCCGTGTTGTGCAGTGCCCCCGGAGGTCAGAAGAGGCTGTTGGATCCCCTGGGACTGGAGTTATGGATAGTTGTTAGCTACCATATGGGTGCTGGGATTTGAACCTGGGTCATCTGCAAGAACAACCAGTGTTCTTAACTGCTGAGCTATCTCTCTAGCCCTGAGATGTATGTTTTTAAGATGCTCACTTGATGGAGTCCAAGTTGGTGTGCAGCCCATTGTCTGGTGCAATGATAACTTTTGATCATTTTGTTGGGGCTTGAGGGGAGGGGTTTCATTTTAGTTGGCTATGTATTTGGAGAATTAGATAATACATTATCAGTTCTTGTCAGCATTCAAAACATTGCCAAGAATGTGAGTGTACTGAATCTTGTAAAAGTATTCCTGAAGTGCCCACTAAAAGAAGACCAGCAGCATTTATAGGCTCACACTGAGGAATTTAGTTTCATTTTAGGTTTTAAATTGATTTACTATTTTTAAATGGTTAGCCAGTAGATACAGAGTTCCCCACTGCAGATCCTTCCCTCCCTCATCACTACACAAAGGCAACCCCTCACCCCCCAACGCCACCACCACACAGAAAACACACCTACTCACTCCAGGGAAGAGTCTCTGGGTTTGCTGCCCTCTCTTCATGTACATAAGAGGACAGGCTCATTTTCTCAAGATACACAGTTGGAGGCAAGTATCTCCTTTCTCTACCAAACACGTAAACATACAGGATCAAATCACATGGAATAGGCATTTTATTTTATTTATTTTATTTTGTCTTTTTGAGACAGGGTCTCCCTGTAGCCCGAGCTGTCTTGGAACTCACTGTGTAGACCAGGCTGGCCTTGAACTCATAGAGATCCGCCTGCCTTTGCCTCCCAAGTGCTGGGACTACAGGCGTGCGCCACCACGTCTGGCTTGGAATGGGCGTTTTAGATGTTACCTGAATACTACAAATTGAGCAACTCCCAGGCCTTCAAAGAGACACTTTTCAGTATTTTTTTGGGTCCCACTCGAGATGACATTGGCAACTAGGATCCCCCCCGACACACACACACAGAGCAGCTTCTAGATGCTTATACAGACACACAGCCTCTGACATGCACTGGAGTGTCCTTGTCCCTATTCTGCAGTTGTTTTAAAATATATTTCACCCATCCATGAAGCATATTGTATAGGATATGAGAAAAATTTCTCTTTATGAAACCTTCCTGAAAACAGCCTTTCTGTACTGCCATTAAACAAGGCTAGTTTAAGTGCTATATCTTTCATTTTTGATAGTGTTATTTTGGCAGGGGGCGGGGGGTGTTACAATTTTTTTCATCTGTTTTGTTTTTTGAGGTGGTCTCCCTGTAGCACCAGCTGCCCTGGAACTCACTCGGTAGATCAGACTGGCCTCCATCTCACAGAGAGCCACCTCCCTCTGCCTCTCAAGTATTGGGATTAAAAGTGTGTGCCATCATGCTCAGCTTTTTACACTTTTTAAAATTACATTTGTGTATGTCTGTATAATGTGTGTAAGTGTACATGTTATAACTCGGGCATGATGGCCAAAGGACAACATGGAGGAATTGTTTCTCTCCTTCCAGGTGGGTCCTGGGGATTGAACTCAGGTCATCAGATTTGGTGGCAAATACCTTTACCTGCTGAGCCATCATGTTAGCCTGATGATACCCATTTTGATAGGGCAATATGAATGAATTGCATAAGAGCTGAAAAACATAGTAAAATGTGCGCTAGTGGTTATTAAGGCCTCCAGAGAACAGGTGGGCTTATATATTAATTTCTTGAGAGAGAAGACTCTAAGACCAAAAAAGCCAAGAAAGTTTCCACCGTGTGAAAATTCCGAGTGAAATATATTTACATATAGATGAAATGTTAAACATTTAACATTCTCAGATGCATGATAAAATTGTATTTTCAGACCTTTGGAAACACAAGTGTTTTTTATGTACATGATAGAATTCTATGTAAAAAGATTAAAAATTAAAGAACTAGAGTTATAAATAGGTAAGGTGTAGATAAAGGATTCTTATTGAATACTATGTTTATCAGCCACCAGGACTTGAGTACTATGCAGAAGGCACCTATCAGAGCCTGGTGCTAGGGAATGTACAATTAAGTATTTTTTAATATTTGTTTAAAGCTTTGAATTCTACTTAAATGGCTGAAATGATGTAGGTCCTTTATAAATGTTTCTAACATAAGCTTAAGTTCTGTAACTATGTGCTGTTTCAGAAGGCAGTCTGTCAGAATGCAGATGTATCTGATCTTGTGCATGGTGGTTGCAAAGGAAATATCTGGATGTACATCGAGTTTCATGTAGGTCAGGATAAAGGATTAGAAGGTGTGGTCTACTTTGAACCATTAGTTAAATTATTGAAGAAACTGAACATACTATGTTCATATAATTCTACTGGGATCTCATCACTTTCTGGCAGTGTCTTTGTGAAAACCAAAATAGAAACAATAAGAAAACATGGTCAAACAACAACAAAAGTTGAAATAATGAATTTTTAACAGCAACTCTGCTGGGCATGGTAGTCTATACCTATAACTCTAGCACTTGTGAGGCAGGAGGGTCAGGAGTTCAAGGTCATCCTCAGCTACATAGCAAGGTCTAGATACCGTATCTAAAAAACAAACAAAACACACATACACACAAAACAAACAAAACCTCAGCAACTCTTCAAGCAGTAGGAGCTTCAGACAGGTGGTCGATGCTTTGATTTACTGTGAACTGATAGACGTTAGAAAGAAGTATAAGAAAAAGCCAAGTATGATGGCACACATCTACAAGTCTGCTGCCACAGGGCTGAGGCAGGAGGATTGTGAGTTTGCATGAGTTTGAAGCCAGCCTGGGTTACATAGGGAATTGAGACTCTAACATAATAAAATAAGACAAAATTGGCTTAATGGCCCTCAACCTTTAAACATTTCTGCATCAACTCTGAAGAATGTGAGAGAGGCATTTTACTCACAGGTTTAGTGAGTAATTGATGTAGCTGTTAAGGGCTTCTGAGGAAGATGTCTATTATGCCTGGGCAGTTAGCTTTCTGAAAAACCATTGTTTTGAGGCCTACTACAAGCAACAGAAACAAAACTTGTAGTGACTTTTACTGACCACAGTTGTGATGCCTTGAACATCAAAAAGAATATGATGGTATGAAGTACATTAAAATTAAAAAGTCCCGATTCTACAGTTATACTAAAAGAAATCTACAAAACCTGTAGCCTGTCATCTACTGAACGAACCTGACTTCGAAATTATAATTAAATGGACATGAAACATTCAAACTTCCTTTTCCAGTGAAATCTACATTTAGTGATAACCAAATAGTTCAGGTTGAGAGGGAAACTAAGGTTACATAAATTAACCAACTAATGAATGCAAGAGAAATGAGAGAACTAGAAAAAAAGGGATAAACCTTAATAAAATTGTTCATTTAGGTTAGTCATCACTGGATGTTACAATATCTGCTTCAACAGACAATGGGAAACAGCAGTCAATGTGAAAGAAACATTGTATATCCACTCACAAAGGGGAAAACCAGCTAGAGGATCAGACTGCCTTGCTGAACCACTAAAGCTGTGCTTGTAAATGATAGGTGAAGAGACATACTGTCTTTTCTGACTGGTGCAATATCAAGCATATACTTTATCTAGGATCTACACTATCACAGAATGCTGAACTCATGTCTGTGTGCCTTGAGTTATGACTTCTGGATGCCAGGTAGTGTGGGAATAGCAATATAAGCCAAACAGCGCTGTGAGAAACCAACTAGACAGACTCACAAGATGGGATTCTGCAGTACAACTTTCTCAATCATTTTAAATTAGTATTTGTCAAGAAAAGAAAAGAAAAGAAAGGAACTGTGCTAGATTAAAATAGACTTAAAGTACATGACCAAATAAAATGTAAGATCATAGAATGAATACAAGTCTAACACCAAATGCAAATTTGAAGACAATGGGAAACATGAATATGGTCTGAGGTAAAAATACTCTGGAATGAGAAAGTGGAGAAACTAACATATAGGTTATAAAACACTGTAGACCTGATCTTGTTTTTGTTAAAAAATAAAATACATAAGCAACAGGAAAGTTCTGGAAGGATTAAGGTGCTAATAGTGGTAATCTCTCAGTAGTGGGAATATGATGTTTTTATTATTTTTCCCTTGTCAATTTTTCAACTTAAAATGCACTTACATCAATTCTGTAATAATAAAAGGTTAGTTTAAAACGAGGACTTCTAGAAAATTGTGGATTTCTTTCTTTTAGAAAACTGATTATAGACTGCCTATACCCAAACAATACAAAGCTAAAAAACCACTAACCTTCTGGTGATGGCATGTCCTATTTATATATAAGTAATTAAAGATATAAAAGTGTAAGTGCTTATCATGCAAGGATAATACTAAAATGTAACAAATGTCATTGCATAATAAGTGCAAGAGGCCAATTAATCTTTGAAATATTCAATTTAAAAAACACAAGTAAGATACATCTTGCCATGCATCATTCACCCTCCAAATCAAGCTTGACAACTAGTATTTACCCTTAGGGAAAACAATCTAAAGTCTAGTGTTTAAAGCTGGGAATTTCTGCAAAGGCTGAGGCCCTCCCTCCTCTAGGCCTCAGGGGTGATAGGCGTGGCATTGGGCTCCAAGTCCTCCTGGGGAGGCAGAGCTAAGGCTTCTTGTTCAGCCAGCGCCTCTCGAACTTGGCTGCCTAAAACTGCATCATGGATGCTGTGGAACAGAAGCTCTTTTAAGGCAGGATTTTCAAAAAATCTATTGCGGGTGAGGTCATTCACGACTTGTGCTATAAAGAGAAAAGAAAATATTTTCACATTCTGCTTTTTAGTCTTAACATTAAAAAAATATATTTCATAGCATTTTTAAATTAATTTTAAGACAGGGTCTTATGTAGCCCAGGCTAGCCTTGAACTCCTGATCCTCTTGCCTCCATCTCCCAAGTGCTGAGTTTACACCTGATGTCATCATACAGTTTTAATATAAATTACTATGGTAAAAGTTTCATTCCCTGTCTGATCATATCACACCTCCAGTCCCAGGAAACTATTTCTATTACTTTATAGCATATTCCAGGATTTCTCATTGGAAATATTAGCAAATGCAAGTATATAGACTGGCTAGATATAGTGGCACATGCATGTAATCCTGTCTCATGGGATGCAGAGACAAGGGAGATTACAAGTTTGAGGGCAAACTAAGGCTACAGAACAAGACCCTGTTTCAAATAAAGCAAATTCTTACTACATTCTTATTTCTCTTTTCTCGCCGTGAGTGTGAGTGCGTATGTGTTAT